TGCTTGGTTTGGGGCCTGTCAGATCTAATGGTGTTTCATTAGGGACACATATGGATATCTCAGTTTAGGAGATACCTCGGGTCTCAGTGCACTGTCAGTACAGTTTTCTCCAGGTCTGGAGGGCACAGCAGCTCTTGGTGACAGGAGATGCCAGAATATGGTGTCTGCTTTCCTGTTTCTGCTTGAAGGTGTGATTTGCAAAGCTGCAAAGAGGTTTCTGCCCTGCAAAAAGCCCCTGGGAAGGCAGAGTTTCCTGTTATTCATGTGAGGTGCCTCTTTTTCAAAAGCACGGATTTTCAGGCCTGGCTGCTCTTGACCTGGGAAGGGGGAGTGGGGGGAGAAAAGAAGTCATGCAGAACACATGTTCTGCAGCATCAGCAGCAGATGAGAGAGGATTTGATTTTGGCTGCAGGGAAGCAGAGTCAGAACTAAGCTGTCAGTATGTTGCATATGAAAAGTGTTGTGTTGGGGCACTTACCCAGAGCCAAGTTCTGTTGCAGTATGACCATGATTACAGATATTAAGTATCATTTTATGATGGCAGATTACTAAGTATATGTATTGGAACTGATGCCTTACGTGTTTCATACACTACTGCTGAAGCCAGACGCAAAGTTGCTTGAATCAGCTGAGAAGCTCTCATGGATTCCAGACTGTTTTGGTTTGTCAGAATCTATGCTTCATTAATGCATTCTGATGCTGGGAATTTTCCAAAAGGTTTCAAGTGGGTTTTTTGTTGGTTTTTGGTTTTGTTTTTGTTTTTTTTTAGTTTATTTATTTTAGTCTTTTCCACATTTTTAATCTACATAATTGACATTATGCAATCAGAATCAAATCTTCTGGAGGTAAGGTTACACAGGTCATTGTAACACATGGCAGTGCCTGTTTTTCCATGGTAATAAAAATAATGCTACAGAAAAGGGAACGCTTCTGTTCGAATTCCTCCTACCTTAAATTTTGTAACAGTTCTCTGTCCTTTTAGAACTGTGCTCTGAATATCTTCCTAATGCTTTGGACTTGAATTTAGAAGAGATAAGTGTTGTTTTACCATCTGATCCTTTAGTAAATATATGACATCTGGGCCTCTTCCTCTTGTTGGTTTCTTTCTTCATGTTATTAAAAGATGATGTGTCAAAATTATCTGGTACTTCTTCAGTAGTAAGAGCTGAAACAGCACTAGCATTAATACTGTCCTAAATTTGAGAAAAAATAGGTTATTGAGATGTCTGTCTAAAGGAAGAGAGTGAAAGCAGATCAGTTTAAAGAGAGGTAATAACACTTGTACCTTGTCTTCTGAGTGTGACATCTAACAGCCCTCATTCCCTTTGTGCTGCATTAGAACAATCTGTTATTTAGTAATACAGCTTTTTATCCATCAGTGAGCCAGGGTCAGCTGAACATGTAAAAGGGGGATGGACCGTGACACAGGGCTATTGTTTGCTGCTATGTGGGAGACTGATACAGCACCCGGCTCTGAAACAATGTTGGGCAGTTCTGATTAAAAGTGTCAGTGCTGTCTGGGTGCAGGGAACAGACTGATCTAGCTTAGCTCTGACTGTGCTGTTCAGTGAGTTTCCAGGGCTCCTTGCTGTGCCTGTGTCACTCCTTCACCCATGGGAGGAGTCTGCAGGACTGGGGACTGGTAGGGAGCACTACTTTAACCTGCTCAGTCTAGTGCTCCTCTCTGCTCCCCATAAAAATGTACAACTAAATGTTTTACATCTCTTCTACACAGACCTGTGCCAAAATCCATTGAATCCATTTAGCGGAACCTTGACCAACTTGTGCTCTCTGAAAGCTCCAGAGTGGGAGCAGCTCAGCCTGGCTGCTGGCTCCTAGGTCATGCACTTGTCCTCAGGGTCTGTGACATTACATTTTCTGCCTCTGTCTCTGGGGGACTTGAAGTCAAGCCATTGCAGTTTTGTTTAATGAAGAAGTAAGAAAGGAAAAAGAAAAGCAATGACACATAATCCTTTTCATCGTCAATAAGTGTCTGGAGTAGAAACTCATGCACTAGTTGGAAAAAGACTGGCAACTGCTTTTCTGCTCAGATCCAGTGGCATTTCAAAATCCCCACTGAGGAGAGTCCACGGGAGAACAAGTGTAATTATGGTGCTCATCCACATGATCAAGGAATGTCATATGCAATGTCTGTTCATCACAAACAGATTAGCTTTAATCTTCTAGTCAGGATGACAGCACAGGCTATTTAACATCATTTTTGGGTTGCTAAACCTCAAAGAATCTATTTCTTTCTTTTTTGATGTTATTGCCATGGAAACTGGCTAAATTGCAGGTCCAGATTACATCTTTACTGTTCACTCACTATCATTTTGATTTGATGACATTCTTCAGGTGCCAGGAAGAGACAAAGAACAAATCAATAGTGTTCCTTGAAACACAGAGTCACTCCCTGTGCTCTCCAGCCTCTACTGCCTGAGTGTAGCCACTTGTGTTCTGTCTCCCAGGGCAAGAGACCTGAAACCTGAAGATTTGTTACCTGCAGCCTCATTTTCTGTGATAGCATTGCTCAGCCAAGATGGAGAGGACAACTCAGTAGATCACTTCCTCATCTATTTCTCACACCTGTGCCAGTGGTGACACAGGGATGCACAGTGGAGCACAAATCTGGGAAATATGTTGCAGATGCATTAAAACTGTTGAAAACAGATATAATTAGGAGTCAAGGAGAATTGCTATTAAAAGTAGGTATCAGTGTCCAGAGTGGTGAAGGCTGTATGTGAGAACCCAGATAATAAGTACTTATGGGAAGAATGTGTCTCAATACATATCTGCATGTGATGGCCTGAACCATAGGTGTTGCTCTTCTCATACTCTTGGGATTTGAGTGCTGTCTTGAGTGTGGGAAATCTCTAAATTTATTTTTTTTCAGCATTTTTATCTGGGTACCAGGTAAAGGTGCCCTCTCTTGTGACCTGGATTCTTGGAGGTGGAACATAGGCATCCTACTTCTAGAGACCTATTGCAAGCTCTTGCTTTAATCAAATGCCACTGGTGTTCTTTCTGGTGAAATAGCCTTTACCCCCCTACAAAACCTGTAGGTTTGAAAGTGAATGTTGGGGGGAGGAAACTGAAATGAATTATGTGTATTTTCTTTTAAGAGTTTGGAAGACCTGGACATGAATATATAAGTAGCCCCTAGGCAGCTGTAAAATTAGAAACTGGCACTTATAGAAAGTCCTAATATATGCAACTGACCTTGGTGACATTACAAGAGTAATCTTCACACAGATAGCATTTTTAATGGGGTATCTATAATGCATTAGTCATTGATGCCTTTGCCTTGCATCAGCCATTCAGATCTTATGTCCATTTTCTACTGTACTTATACTGCAGTTAAGTTACAAGGGAAAAATCTGTTCTTTATTGCTGAATTATTTTATCTCTGACCTTTTGTAATACAGTTTAGTTTTGGAGAAGCTTTTCTCTGTCAGTATAATGTCTTTTATCCTGATAAGCATTACTATGGCTCTTAAGAAGTTAAGGGAAATGAGTGCCCTTATGTTGTATAAGAAGGCAGCTCTGCATTACAGATTTTCATTCTTTTTGTATGCACAGGGTGTTGAGATTGATTCTTTTTCATTCTGAACTGACAAGAGTGCAGCACATGCCCTTGTCTGTCTCTCCAGAGAGTGAGTTAACACTGGTAATAGAATGGGTGAGTTTACCTAAGGAGAGGAGGTAGAACAGTTATTTGGCTTTAATAGATCTATTTCTGAACTAATTCAGTAACTTGTTAGTTTCTATGAGTGATTCATTGGCAGAGGTTGCTGTTGTTGCAGAAAGACTTGTGTATATTGACCACAGCTGATTATATGGCTGGTTTTGGCTGAACCTGGTAATATTATGATCTCTATATCCTCAGAATTTGTATTCAGAAAAAAATTAGGGGAGTTTTTAATTTTGACAACTATCATTATCCAGCATGTCTTCATGAGGTGAAGCTTGCTTAGTGAAGGAGCACTTTCCTTTGCTCTAGCTTCTGCTAGTGAGAGCAATGCATAATCTAGTATTCATACTACAGGAAAAGGTGCTCAGGAGCCAATCCTATGTTCTTGATTCTTTCATGGATTCCAGCAGTTTTCTTGCATGTAAGATGTGGCTTTGTGAGTGTAGAAAAATAAAGTAAAATTAAGAGACAGGGAAGGAGCAGGCGTTTTTGAAAATGTTGGCCTTGATATGTCAGTTTCTACATTTTTAAATTGGAGCATTCTGAATATTTCACAAGACCCCTTAAAGCCTCTTGTGAGTGTTTGCAAGGTGTTTTAGAGCTGGTCACATGGGAAACTGCATTGCAGTGCAAGGAGCAACATCTTCACTTCAAACCACACCTCTGGAACATTTGTGCATTTGGTGATAGCCTCACCTGACAGCAGTCGACAAGAGATTCTCATAGATCTGATCTTCTCAGATGTATTATTGCCCTCTTCCCCAGGAATCTTATTGGGAGGAAAAGAAGACTTTCTTTGTCCCAGATGCCCTCAGAGTATGTCAGAGCTGGTTTCAGTGTGCCATTTGCTGTCACATGCACTATGCGAGGTTCCTGCCCAGAGCAGTGCTGGGTAACAGGATGGGTTACTGCCTAACTCAGGAATGTCTTACCATAAAAACATAAATAAATTGTGCCTGCAGATTTTACAAATTATTGTGAATCCATCAACCTCAGTTAAAGAGTTAGAATTTTTCAGGAAAAGGAGAAAAAACCCAACCCCATGTTTCGTTAATCAGTATGTGACAGAAAAATCCAGCTTCTTTCCTCTGTTTATTGATAATATGTAGTTGTAGTAAATTGCCTGCTCTGTCTCTGTTTGACCTACAAACCTTGTTTGACATATGGCGGCTGTTGCTTGCACCTGGAGGTTGAATGTACTACATAGAGCATGTAACTAAGGAGATGGGGTTTTGTTCATCCTTTCAGTTAATTCTGTGTGTTCTTTTTTTCCCTCCCCTTCGTGCTGCACGGCTGATTACCACCCTAGGACCTTGCAATGGGACACAGACCCCTCAGTGCTGCAACTCCAGTCTGACTCTGAACTTGGGTATATGTCAGCTCTTTCTGTTATCATTTCTTTGCAAGAATTATGTTGAAAATGCTTCCTAGTTGAGCTGGTTGTATGTGATTTTTATTTGCTATTTTGTCTCAAAAAGACCATAATTTAAGTTTCCTTTTTTCAGTTTCATAAATAAGAAGTGTCAGAAAAGTCAGCTTTGTGGGAAAAAACCCCAACTATTTAAACAAGCTTATGAAAAGATAAATTGCTATTTCTGTTGCTTGAAACACAATACAAATAACTATTTCATTGCAGATGAAATGTTATTATTGTGGCACACATGTGCATGTATAGTTACATTGATCTTGTTTGTAGCTGTTGATTCAGACTGCTCTCTGAATCGTTTGCAAGATACTTTCCCCCCTTCTTTCTGCTGGCTATATTTACACTGTTTCCACATGCAGTAACAATGACTCCTTTTTCCTTAAGAGGAATGTGTTTCCTTAAGAGAATGTGTTTAAAATTCTGCGCTTAAGAATGATCCTAGCCCAGGAATAAGTGCCACCTCAGTTGAGTTCAGACCTATGAGGCTTTTTAAAAATTGTAATAGAGCTAAAATTAATATTTTATAGCTTGGGATGGAACTTCATTTCCCCATACAAGTGAAAAAAAAAATTAAAAAGTTAATTTGTAGTAATAATGTAGTAAATACTGTAGAAATGCTTGCTTGCAGAGATATTTAGGATAACCTGTTCCTCTGAAAGTGCTGCAAGTTCTTCAGAGCAGGAGTCATAGGTAAAACCAAATCACTACACTGGAGAATTTGCTCTACCATGAAGTTAGAGGGTTGCCTGTTTTAAGTCTTCAGGCAAGTGTCTCATGTTTTCACTTGTTCATGTGCTATTTCATTCATCGTTCTGTAAGAAAAACAACAACTTCCCTTTAGCTGCTGACTGACTGCTCCCAGCTCCAGTTAGGTGTGTTAGGTCTATTCACCAGGAAAGATCCAGAACTCCTGGGAATGTTTGTAGTTTACACAAAATAAAGAAGTGTGACTTCAAATAGGTCACATTTCTACAACTTTACCTGGGCTGCACCAAACAGGTAGAGGTTTTTGAGCGATTTTAACCTACAGAAAACTTTTAGAAATCCCAGCTGCTTTTTTTACAGAAGTTTGGATTAATAGATGAGTACTCCTAGGAGCAAGGTTTCTTAAACAGCTCTGCAAGGTAAGTGCCTTTATCTGACACATGAAAAGATAACTCTGTATGTAGCTACAATACTTCAATCAATTACTAGTGGTCAGTGCAAAGATGGAAAAAAAGTATGCCAAAGAGCAAATCCACAGGTTTTAATGTGGATGCCCTGCCTCTTTTGAAAGAAAACTGTCTTCAAACCCAAGGCCGAGTTAAACTTTCCTCTGGTGTCCTGAGACTAGAGAAAAAAAAAAACAAACCAACAGTACCAATGCAAAAGAAATCCTGCAGTCAGCAATTAAATGATGTGTGTAGCAAAACACTTCTAGCATATACATCTTTCTTATGATACCTATTGACAGATGAATCACTTTTAATGCATGGGGTTTAATCACTATCTCCCTCCTGACATCCCATTGGCAGTTTGGAAAGGAATCCTTCAAAGCTTATGTGATCTCTAAGATGAATAGTCATTGAATTTATGAGAATTACGAGCACCTCAGATGAAACACGTGGATGGGAAAATAAGAGACCAATTAGTGTTGCCCTAAGAAAAACTAGAGATTAGAACATTACAGCACATATTTGGTAGAGCCCAGATGTTGAAATCGTGCTCCAGTTGTCCCTGAGTGTTTGAGAACAAAGGCTAGGCCAACTTTTAGTAACATGAGAACAATTAGAGGTGGCTTGGCCAGTCAATCAGTAGATCACATTCCTCCAGATGAAGAAGGACCTCCCAGTGTTCACCAGTAATTACATCATATGGGTGGCACAAGGCATTTGTGCAGGCAGCAGCAGTTACTGAATTGGAAGTGTTGCAGATGAAGAATTCCATGCATTGTCTCAGTGCTGTGGAAAGTAGCTCACTTCTGGGACACAGTGGGCAAGGAGGTTCAATCCACCCATCTAGCAGTTAAATCCAGCTCTCCGTTAGGGTGGTGTTCCCCATCCTTGGGCAGCCCAGGAGATACACAGTGACCTCATGTGAAACTGTTTTAGAATTAGGTGAGGTTCTAATTGGGTCCAGATTAGACACAATTAATTAGGGATTATATTTAACCAAGACCACTGTCAAGAGACTCTTTCAATGCAAAGGCTTAAGAACCTCAGTGAATGGAAAGAGTAGCCTGGGGCAGCAGGGGACTGGTTACATAGTGAAGTCAAACTGACCAAACAGGCAGCAGAGCTTGCACATCTGGTGCTGGGGGAGGGAAAAGAACATGAGAGTTTGCTGGGGTGAGATATTTATTAAATATTTAATATTAAATATTTATTGAATATTTTTGGTAATAATATTAAATATTCATTGAATTCACACAGAGCATAAGTTAAAGCAGCTGTAAAATGAAAAACTACTAAAATTTTTGCTAGCTGAAGAAACTTTTCTGCCCCAGTAATGAGGTGGAAGTTTTTCTGTGGAGTTTTTAGACAATTGTAGATTTTGTTCATATTGGTAAAGTCAGGGATGGTCGTAAGAAGGGAGACTTGTTAATTTTTCTTTGAAAAGAGGAATGACTCAGAGCTACACCAACTGTTTCTGCTCTAGTGGTTTGTTGCACAATACAGCTGATTTGTACTGATTACCTGCTGAATCTAATTGCAGTTAGCTTAATAACAACCCAGGGAGTAAAATAGATTAGAAAAAAAATATAGCTGATGCAGCTGAAAAGTTCAGTAGGTGTTTTCCAGTGGTAACAGTTTCCTTTTGAAACTCCCATTTCCTTTTGGACATCAATCTTAATTGAATACCTAGACCACTGTAAATTAATTAGATCAAAACCCCTATGACTTCTGTTCTTCTGACAATCTGGAAAATGAAGAGGATATAGGTAATATGTAAGAATTTTCTGGTTTTCCAAATTGCTCTCTTCAGTAATGTGGCAAGTTGAGAAACATTGTGTCCAGCAATTTATTTCCCCATAAAGGCACAAGCATGCTCACACTTGTTGATTAAGGTAACTGGACTTACTTAGTTAATTTCTTTATTGTGTTTGCATTATTTCTCTGCTAAAGTTGGCATTTTTTCCGATAAAGCACTTCCAAGCAACTGTTTTTATATTCTTCACTCGTTGCAGACAGTCAAATAATATTCAAGAAATAAACTGATTTTTTTTCCCCCTGCTCCTGAGTGAACTGTGCACAGCTAAAAGTGTTCATGACCCTGCTCAGCTGCCTCTCTTCTTTTTCCCTTACCTACTTACAGTTAGTTTGCTTCAGTGATTCATTTCATTTGGTTTATTTAAAGTAAGGGATGTAGACAAAAGAGAAGGCTATACTTGCCTTGCTCCAGTTGTGTTTTAGCTCTCCACTAGCCCTTGCATTAGGATTCCACTAGTCATAAACCTAGTTCAATGCCACTGTTAATGACTCCTGTGGAAGGAGGAGAATCTTCTTATTTACAGAAGTTACCCACCTTGCCAGTCAAAGACTGTTACTGCTCCCAGCTGAACACTTGGCAGCCAAATCCGTCCTGGTTTAAACCCACTGTGCCCTTTCCACAGCTATGTAGCCCAGGCTGAGGATGAGCTCCTTTGAGCAGGCAGAACATCACAGTAATGATGGTATGAAAGAGAATTTTGATGCATGTTAAGAGGGACACAAGCAGGCTATTTCTCTCTCCCATTTGCAGTCCCTCTCACCAGCATCATCTAGAGGTTCCACAACTGCACTTTATTATTGCAAATGGTTCCCAGGTTAATTTTCTTCACTACAATACGGTACTTCTCATGCACACTGTGTTGTGTTTTGTCTCAGCAAACACTGGGGTATTTTTATCCTGTTCATAACAGCAAACATTTGTTCATGCTGCTGATTCACATTTAACATGACTAACCTTTTGATGTTGTGTATTCCACCTTAGACGCAGACTGCACAAACTAGGGGTGTCAAAGATTACCCAGGTTGATTTCTTACCTCGGGAGGTGGTTTCGTACTCCAAGGAGACACAGACACCTCTGGCCACACATCAATCTGAAGGTAAGATTTATGGTTTTTTTTAAAAAAAATAATAGAAAATTTGCATCTGAGTTAAAGAACGTAATAAAAATAATAGTGAGTCATAACACAGCTGCTTATCATGTATTTTCTGTATGCTGGGTATTGTTTATGTGATTAATGGCTGTTCTGATGAGAATAATTATAGAAATCACTTTAAATGCAGGTGGAACCAAACTACTTCTGACTTACAATGGGTTGTGTTCAGATAGCAGTTTAATGGGAACATTTAAAAAATACATCACTGTGAATATAATTAAAATTGTGCTTTACTCAATTTTTTTATGCTTTCTCAAGGAAGTTATAAATTCTGTGCTTTGTAAAGAGGCAGTGTTGGAAAGTTGCCCTCAGTTCTTTAGTTAGGGTGATTGTGTCCCCCTGTTGTAGGTGAAGCTTAGGGAGAAGTTGCAGCTTAGCTCCATGTACTTGCATACTTGGATGTGGACAGTCTTTCCTTCTCTCTGCTGACAATCATGCTGGCATCTGTACTCATGAAGCTGTTTGTTGGCTGTTGGGCTCTCTTGTTGATAACCAAAATACACAGAGTGGCAGGGGGTTGCTGACCTGTGAGGGTTGTACTGCAGAATGCTGATTTACCATTTAAACTGAATGCAAAACTGTGCATTACCCTGAGGTTATATATGCACTAGAACAAAGTGGATAGAAGAGGAGAAACTCACAGCAGTCTTGACCATAATTTTTGCTGTTAACAATGAAGGATCCAGGAAAGTTCAACAACTGAGTAATTTTCTGCAGAAGATAGTGTAGAACTTGACCCATCTTCATTCAGAGAAGAAAAATACTCAGGTTTGGAAGGTGGTGATGGTGAATCTGTCTAAGTTACTGTTGGGGAAAATAAATGTAGCCATTTTTTTGGGAGTTTTTTTGCAACTGGGTTACCAGCTCTGTCTTAGGAAGCAGAAATAGAAACCACTGAGCTAGATGCTCAGATTCTACTTTTCTGGAGCACAAGTTTATCCTGGTCATCTGCGGGCAGGAACAGTGCCTTCAAACCCAGGCAGCCCTTTTGCTTGGATGATGCTCCTTCAGCAGCGTGTCCAGAGAGCTTTGCCTGCTCATAGGGAGAAGCTGTCTCAGAAGCCTCCCTGGGTCAGTCCAGCTCATCTCTGCTTGTCTGTCTGTGGGCTGCTGAAGCCTCAAGAAAATGGGTTTTGCCCCCAAGTCTTTATCTTCTTTGCTTAAGACCAGTTGGTGCTCAACCCTGGAGCATTACAGTGTATTCATTCTTAGATCAGATGGAGAGGGTGACCTTCCTCTCTGACACATGGTCTTTATCCAGTGCAAGAACTTAGGGATATGGGGAATTTAAGACATGGTTTTGTGTTTGCCTTCCTCAGGCCTACAACTCCAGCACTCATGAGTTGACCTGCCTTTCTGAAAAAGACAGGCTCACTTCAGAAAGCATCCTCTTTCAGTAGGATCTTGGTTTTTTTTCCCAAGGAGCTCTTCAACTATTACAAAATCCTTTCCTTGCTTGACAAGAGGACAATCTCCTGCCCTTCAACGAAAGAGCCCCAAACAACTGTGTGATGCCATGGAGCCTGGCAGTCAGGACAATGAGCAGAGAGTGGTTTCAATTGGTCCTCCCAGCACTGAGGAAAGTCACTTGTTCCTCCTTTGTATGAAAGAAGATAAGTGCAAACATAAAACATCATGCACTTTAAACTGCCTAGCCAAAACTGTGATGGAAGTGGTCAAATATGTGGGTTTGGTGACTGGGTTTGCTATCTTTCCTATTCTCTGTCATCACAATCAAGGAAAAAACACCAACAGTAGTGGTGTTTTACACATTGAAACACAGAGGAAATACCACCCAATCTCTTCCTGCAGATGTGTGAGGGACAGAAAGTGTAACTTACATTTCCTTTCCAATCTGCTGCTGGGAAATTCTCTGCATTTAACTTGGATATGATTATGGCTGTGCATCAGTAAAGGAGATTTGGGAAAGTTTGGTTATTCTGTTGAGAGGCTATTTAATTGGAAATTCTCTAGGGGGTAAATAAGCACCATGATTTTGGTCTCCCAGGCCTGATGGAAATGAACTCTCAGGTCTCCAATCTCCCAAGCCTCTTTATGGATGCTGAACCCATCACACTGTCAGTCCAAACCTGAACAGCAGAGAGATTCCTCAGGAGAGCAGCTTAGAGAAGAAGTCTCTACACTGTTTCTCTGCATTCATGTGATAAAATAAAGCCATTGTCTTTTCAAGGTAAAATTTTCAGCCTTTTACTATGGTTATGGGCTCAGATTGTCCCATGCTTGCTTCTTGTTTGGAAGACAATTAATGAAGGGTACAGCTAGTTGGAAAGATGGGTGAAAAGAGGACTTTGACTCCACTCCAAGTTCTTCAGCTTTTTTGAAATATTCTCATCAGGTTTTCTGCATTTGCTTCTCTAGAGAGCAGGAAAGAAACTCTGGGGTACTTTAAGCCTACTGCTGTTCTGGAGCTCAGTGGATGTTCTTTGTGCCCACCAGATCTTATAGAACTGGAAAAGGAAGGGTTCACTCTGGTACGACCATGCGGTGCCAGAGGGCCAGGTGCTGTGTGCACTGAAGTCTCAGCTTGTCAGCTGCTAATTTTAGAAGAAATAGTGTGGCATTATTCTTCACTGTATAAAAAACATATTAACTCCTTTTCAGAACAGGTAATTTGCTTTATTTCAGAGAAATAATGACATGTCATTTCCCTCACCAACTCTATTATTTATGGAAATGAGTATATGCATCATTCAATCCTTTGGTCACAAGTACCTAATTCTTATGCTTTATTTAGGTCACAGTCAGCTTCAGCCTTTTCTTCCTTCCAGGATGACTTCAAAAACACACAGATCTTGGCTCTGGAGCGTGAGAAAAAGATGTGTTCTTTACTTTCCCCCTCTTCCTTCTATAACAGATCTTGAATTCAGGTATTTGTAGGCATTGAGAGACATTTTACTTGTCCTATTTCTTCCATTCTGGAGTTGATTAAGACCTAGCCCATGCCAAATATTTTTTGAGAGGTCTCTGGGACACTTCCTTCATTGTGCAGAAGCTCTCACATCACCTCAGGAGTGGCAGCCTCATGTAGCCTTCAATGGTTGGACCCTGTAAAGCACTGCAGAGCCACTGTTTGCTGAAGGTGCACCTAGGAGAAAACAGAAAATCTGTTCTGATCTGGCCTGACCTCTGCCCAGGACAGATCCCTCATGCTGTGCAGCAGTGGGCTGAGCTCTGTATGACTGCCTGCAGTCCACCCTTTCAGACAGAAAAACGCTCTGCACATTCAGGCTCTGCTAGATACATCTCATCTCCAGCTTACCGTCCTGCTCTACAATGGGCCAGGAGGTAAAATCTCAGAGAAGGGAGATACTCCTCTGATCTGGGTCCCCTCAGAAACTCTGGGCTGCAAGAAGGAGAAATTCTGTGAGCTTTCTGGCTTTGCTGTCCAGTGTCAGGAGTGTTGTTTTTCCTCTTTTGTGAAGTAGGAACTACTTCATCAATAAAATGAGATGTTCCGACATTCTGGCTTGACTGTCACTGCAAATGGGTTAGTCAGAAATGAATTCCTGAAAGAGCAGGTCCCGTGTAAAAGAAAAGATCTGACTTTTTAAAACAATGGAAGTCATGTGCACTTCATCAGTTTATCATCTTCAACAGATGATGGTTCATGAGGGGAAAACAAATGAACTGCCATACTCACCTCCTGAGCAGGGTAACCCCATCCTATGTCACAAATGTAGCCCAGTTCTGGCAAAGAACTTTGTTTCTTGTTGAGACCTTTGATCCATCTATTTATCTGACATTTTCAAACACTAAGGGTATTTTGACTATTTAGAGAAAAAAGTATAAAATAAGCTCCTACTCCATCTGGAAGTAGGCTGGAATGAAGTGGCAAAATGGAGGTGGAGCTCCAGAGGCAGGGTTGGGTTCTGCGTGTGTCTGACAGTGCAATTCTCTTAACTAAGGCTCCTGAAAGTTATCTTTTTTAAAGCAGTGTGGGAAGAGAGGGGAATTCTGCTCACAGTCAGGCTCATGAGACACAAGTTCAGGTATCTGTGTCTGATAGCAAATGTTAAGTGCCTACTGTAGGGTGAAACAAAATTCTCTAGGTGCCACTGATTGCACTGACTAGTTCTTCACTGACTAACTTGATGAGAGAGCACTTTATATAGCCATATTGATTTAGGTTTGTCAATATTGGGTGGAATGGATATGTCTAAAAGAGTGATACATTGGCATCATGTGAGGCCTGTGGCCTACTTTGAGTTGTGGTAATTGAATGGGAAGTTATCTGTGACTAGGACTGATGAGCTCCAATGCTGTGAAAGCAAGTCAGGCCTCTGGAATCTCAACATTTCCATGAAAAAATCCATGGATAAACCTATTTATACTTTGATTAATCAAGGTCCGAGATTTCCAGGTTTAATCATTGAGGAGATGTGTCTCTGTAAATGCTTTAGGATACTGTGCAGCAGATCTCCAGCCCAGCAAACTCTGCCCCAGTGCTGCTGTGCCTGCCGTGCCTGACTGCAGCTCAGCTCTAGCTTTGTGAATTCACGCCACACTTTGGAAAAGCCAGTCCCAGAACTAAGCGAGATCATACTTGAGCTTTCCCATGGCCAGTCTGGCTAAAGCTTGTGGATCAGAACTGGGGTTTAAGTTAAAGAGCTTACTTTGGCTTTTCCCTCTCAGGGAATTGTAAGCTCAGCTCCAGTCTGAAAAGGATGAGTCAAGTATGGGCCCAAGAATAGCTTTGAACATTTGATCATTTAATGGGAAATGCAGATGCCCATTTGTGCATTACCATGCATGTAACATGTGTCAGGATACATGATAATGTGTGATGGATATTGGACATAACTGGGGGAAAAGCAAAGACCTTCTGCTATAAACAAAAGGAGGTGCTGAATAGCAAAACTAGGATAGAAATCACTCTTAAAAAGAGAAGATAACCTAAAGATGAATCAGTGTTATAGCAGAGA